GTGTGTGTGTGTGTGTGTGTGTGTGTGTGTGTGTGTGTGTGTGTGTGTGTGTGTGTGTGTGTGTACAATTGTGTGTGTATTATCGCGTAATACATGAGTTTTCAGAATTGATGAGACTAGCAGCGTCAAGAACGCAAGTGTACCACGGTTACGCAGGACGAATGAGGAGAAGAACGGCTCGGCATGATTCGCCGTGTCGTGGTCATGCTGCGTGTGCCGATGGCGGCGACGACGGCGGTGGCGGTGGCAGAGGCAGACGACGGTGGTAGTGGCGGCGGCGGCGGCGGCGGTAGTGGCGACGGCAACGGCAGCAAGTGCCGCGAACCAAGGGGTCCCTCACTCGCTCGTTTGCGCTCTGGACTCTCTCCGTCTCGCTCGTTACGATATATATTGCTCGCGAAAGCCGAACGGGGAGCAATGACCCAGTGTGCGCGATGCACGTGTACCGCGTAGAAACCGCGACGACAGCCTCATCGACAGGGCATTGGACGCCACGTGCAGCTGCGCTGGTGGGGGACGAGCAATCGCGGGACGTTCAACGAGGCAAACTTGAGCGACGTGGCGCGCGCGCGCGCGCGCGAGAGAGAGAGAGAGAGAGAGAGAGAGAGAGAGAGAGAGAGAGAGAGAGAAGCGTGGGGAAAGAACGAGAAGGGTAAAGGGGCGACGAAAGCGGCTCTTGCCCGCCCGCCACATACACACAAACGACCGCGAGACGCGATGGCTCCCCTCGTCGATACGTCCTCGTTGATTCGGATAATGGAGATGGCCCGGCAAAACCCTGGACGATCCGGCGCTGGCGCATGCGAGCGTGATTGCGAATACACGTTACATCCAGGAGCGAATCGCAGGACGGTTCTGGAAAATGTCGAACCTACGCTAAGCTCTCGCTACGCATGAATTTTGAGCGAGTGTGTTTACAAGCGATACTTTCGATTCGTATCGACCCGCGATATGATTGACAAGACCAACCGCGCGCGTGTTTTCGATTGCTCCTTCTCCTCCTTCGATATCAGATACCAGATGTTAGATATACAGTTACCTGAAACACGACAATGAATGAAAAGTACACGAAACCGATTCGCGACGCTCATGGAAAAAATTGAGTATCGTGGGTGTGTGTGTATATATTCGAAATGTCAGTCAAATAATTGGAAAAGACAAAATTCCTTCCGTCCCCGAATATGAACATTCTCTCAAGATCTAGGAAAAAGTGTCGCTTTTTCCAAATGTAAAGATTGAACTTTTCGATTTATTTGTTTGAGATTGACTTATTATTTTACCCACAGACTGGCTAATTTTCAATATTGCGGCTTGTTTAAGCTAATCTAAAATTTCTTATATACATATGCTGCGCGTGCGCATAGAATACGCACATATTAATTGTTGTTCGTTGACGTGA